TAAATTCGCCCCATTATTAATACACAACAAGAAAATTACTACCAATGAATGTTTCTAAAAAATTTAGGCGAAATTGTCTATAAAAGTATATTATCATACATTCAAGTCGTCAATCAACACATATTATAATTCAAATGTCCAAATGATAATTACTGATAAACATAAAAGTCTACTATGTTCATCTTAATTATTCATTCGCCTCAATTATGTGATGTTACTTAATAGTAATTTTTTTAAAAAATAATATATTAAAGTTTGAATACTTAAAATAAATAATAAATATTTATAAAATTATATTTAAAAAAGTGCATGAATTGATTCGAGAGGTGCTACTTCTTTACCTTTTATCATAAATTTTGAATTCAAGCTTAAACATAATCCTATTGGAAGTGTCCTCCTAAATAAGCGGCTCAACCTAAATTTAATTGGGGCTTCAATTCGGACTCAAATAATTTTGAATGTCATTTTCAGGATTTGATAATCGTCATGCTTTAGAAGTGTTTAGGGCGATTTTGATATTAGAAATGGTATATTAATTGGGTGGAGCTTGATTAGTAATGAATGGGTAGTGGTTGATTTATAAATGATATTAATAAATTAAATTATATCCAACAGTTGAGCGCCAAATATTTTTAAACATATTTAAATAGTTTAGATTTGAAACTATTAAATAAATGGTCAATTTTGAACCCAAAAGTGGATGACAAGGGTATTTTTGAGCCAATAGGTGGGTGGAAAGGGTAATTTGGAGCCAATAGTTGGATGGAGAATGGTTTTGTACCATTTCCAATACTTTGAGGGTATTTTAGACCCTTTTACATATATATAGTATACGAAGTTGTAAAATAGAATAAATCTTATTAAATTAAAACTTTTAGTAAATAATTATAATTAAAAGAATATTAGACCGGTGTTTTAAATGATTAATACAGATTTTCATGGAGTTAATTGTTTTTCTGAGACAAAAATGACCAAATGTCATCGAAACATTTCAAAATGCATTCAAAAGATTTAAATATGGGAGAAAGTATTTTTTGATAAATGGTATTGTTCTTTACTTTACTCAATTTGTAAACGAACTTAACAAGACAGAAAAATAATATCAAGGTGAAAAAAATGGCCAGCAATAACTATTCCTCTAAAGGTTATGACCGTAAATGATGGACATCATTTAAGTACAACTATTCTCTTAGATATTAATACTTGAAATTTAATATGTGCATGCCAGTAAGAACAATTGTCATAAGTATTTTAATATTTTATCTTTAAATGTGATACATGTTTTGCAAAATATTATTATTCAATTAATATTTGAGTAAGGCTATGATATAGATGTAATTTTACAAAAAAAAAAAAGAAAGTGCACTTATATAGTGAATGTCAACAATTTTATAAGTAGAATGTTATAGAGAAAAATATATCACGTCAATAATTAGTTGTAAAGAAAATTATCCTTTATTTTACCGCATACATATCATATAGATGTTGTCTAAGGAGAGTATCTAGTATCTTATAAATATTCTATCGTGATATAAATTTTTTTTTTTTTTTAAATTACAAAATTAATAGATAATAAAATTTAAAGTAATATTCACAGAATATTTATTTTTATTTAAGATCATTTTATGATCAATCACTATTTCTTATCATATTTATATAGCTAGAAAAGAGTTATCTTGTGACATTACATTTTCTTAGATTAAAATGAACACAAAATAACATGAAGTTCATACTTAAAAATTCATACTCAACATAAATATAAAAAAGTAAAAATATGTGGATCAATTCATAGCCAATGAAGAAGGAAGACGAAAATATATGTTCATGATATATTCACCCTAGTGTTTCATTTGATTGAAATTCCTTATCACCAACTCTTTACTTTCTCCATTCTTAGTTACTTACATATCTATTAAAAAATTATTATTATCATAGATATATTATTATATTATAAGTAAAAGTGAAAATCTATTTTTGAAATAGTAGACTTTACATCAAAACTATTAATTCAATCGGCTACGCTAATGCCCAATGTTTTAGAAATAATAGGAAGCAACTCTTTCATTTGAGGTTAAAAGAATAAGAAATGTAAATACAAAGAAGAACTATCTTACCCCAATCATATACCTTTTTTTGTATTTGTTCATTAATATTGTTTCTCCCACATCTTTATCTATTTATTTTATTGAAAAAAATAATCCACAATGTGTGTATTTAATTTCTCTCTCGAATAAAAACACAAGAAATTATTCAAGAATCAAAATAAGAAAAATAAATGAAAATTTCCGCGCACTATATATAGAAGATTTTTGTGTGAAGCAATATTCATAGATAATTACATATTTCTTTGTTCTCTTCTTTTCTTCTTTAATAGAAAATCAGTACCTATATTTCGATGCTAAGAACTTTGGTGAAACATAAAACTGAATTGGAGATGAATCATTTGTGAAAATTTTAAATGATCTCAAAAAAGAGATCCCCAAAATTTTATAAGGAGTGAATGATTGTTACATATGACCAAATAAACATGAAGGTAAAAATTGTTGTGACTATTCATAAGAAATTAGTCTTTTTTAATGAATAAAACATGTAGGTTAATTAAAGTGTTAATGTTCTAAAATAATATAAATAATATCGATGCATGTATGTGATGAAAATCGTCAGAGAAAAATATGAGTGTGAATTGATGAATGATTTGCTACAATTTGTTCACCAACTCTTTCTTATGTGGTACCTCAAATTTTATTAGATTTCGAACTTAATCAACTATTGCGAGTAACAGTTGAGATTTTTTAAGAAGAAGAGTATAAAACCTTTGAAAATTGTAGTTTAAAAAGTGAGAGAAATCCCTCTATTTATAGCTAACAATAATAGTATGAATATAATCTGATTGTGCCTTATCAGATAAGACACAATCCTTCAAAAAAGTCCTTGCTCACCGGAAAAGAAATAACCATTTAAAAAATTTAAAACTCATAGGATAAGGTACAATCCTTTGGTAAAGTCACAATTTTTTTGAAAAAATTATAACTCATCAAAAATGTCGCAACCCGTCAAAAAAGTCACAACCATTTAAAAAAGTCACAACTTATCGCAAAAGTCACAATCCAATAATATGAAAAGGTATCAACTTTTAATATAACATAATGAAATAAATTGAGTATTTTTAATTGGAGTATAATAGTAAATCAATATTCATGCTTAGGAGCTTATGATTTTAAGGATGTGCGTCCGTGCGTGTGTTAAGCTTAAAAGAAGTGATGCAATACGACTCCAAAGTGAACAAATTTATCTTCTCTTGTATCTTTTTTTTTTTTATAAAAAATTCTTTCCTTTCTGTTTGTTATTTTTAATCTCATTATGTCTATTTCTCAATCAAGTTTATCCATGTATTAATATCACAAATTGTCATGTGGTATTTGTTATATATTCTACACTATTGAAAATTCTATCCTAACTCTACCCCAACTACGGTTGGTTGGACCGGTTTTACGGGCTAAGTTAAGCTGGACGATTTTACATAAAATCGTAAACAAAATCAACGTTAATAAATAGACAAAGTACGCAGAAGGATCAAAAGTGCATCAATATAGCAAATATGAAGAACTATTAGTGCTCCATGTGAAAATTTAATGATAACTTAAGTATTAACCAAAAATAAGAAACTATTTGAATTATTTCGAGTTTAGTTGCATTGATTTTAAATTACTTGTCAAAAGGGAATTAAGTTACTCACTTTCCTAAGTAGTCCTCCAAGATAAGATTTTGTTACCTTACCCAACTTTAATATAATTTCCTTAATTAGTTGGAAGACATAAATGATATTTGATTTTGTCAAATTCAAATTTATCTTATTTAATACTTTACTATTTCTCCCTCAACCAGATGACTTTTGTTTACCTATAAATACATTTCTAAGAGTGACAATTAAAATCAATAATATCAATCACATATATAGCTAATTACTCTTGTGCTACCACAAAACTTAGAAGAGAAAATGGAGAAGGCAACATTCCTTAAGGTTTTCTTGAACTCATTTTTGCTTATGTTGTTTGGTAAGCAATTTTGTTATCTATTGCAAATTATATTCTAGACTAGATATATATAATAATTCATTCGTTTATTCACTTTTTCAATGATGATGTTGGTTTATGAAAAATCTTGTGTACATCACTGACTTGTTCAACAATATCGTCGATTTTGATAGGCTTGAACAAGAAAATTGTGGTAGTTCTTTCATTTGTTCACTTTCTCAAATGTTGATGTTGTTTTATGAAAAACTTGATGTACGTCACTGACTTGTTCAACAATGGTGTCCATGTTGGTAGGACAAGGAAGTCATGTGCAAGGAGAATGTACTAATGATGCCGATTGTGCTAAGGTTATGAAATGCATACAAGCACAATCTATATGTGACTTGACAAGCCATCAATGTGTCTGTCCACGAGCTCCACCTGCTAATTATGGAACAAGAAACATCTACAAGACTCACCAAAACTGATTTTATTATGTTTTTCAATTTCATAAGATTCAATAAAGATCTCTTGTTTTTATATTAATCATGTTTGAAATGGGTGTTATTTGCGCGATGTATTGTATCTTAAAAGTAATTTTTTCGATCCATTTATGTTTTACGAATTTCAAATAGAGGTTTATGCATTTAAATTTTTCAATAATCAATAAGTCGTAAAATGTCAAACATGTTTTAATTGAAGTCGATGTGTATATCAAAGTAGATGACATTAGTTTGCTTAATTAATATGCATTGATGTATAATTCATATGAACCAAGTAGCTCTTAAGTAAATGCCTATTTTATAGTGTCAAGTTCCAATTATGTGGACTTATGAATGAGATAAGCCTCCAATTTCCTTGATTGGCTTTTACTCTTCTGTACATGTCATGAATAGAATAACCATATATATAAAAGGAAATGATATGGCATCCCGGGGATCTTGCGCCCACGCAAGGTGCAGGAAAGGATCGTAGCTCAAGGGGATGTAAATAGAATAGTCATGCTTGTATATATTCAAAAAAAAAAAAAAATTCATGAACTTGCACCTCTTGAAAGCAAAAAGAAAGTGGTTCAATTCTCAAAAAGATGAACATCAAGAACATACTTAGACAAATTGGAGTCTGGGATGTATACCTTATTCAACCTTTTTCGATTGATGACTTGTCTTGACTCTTGCATCTACAAGCTAAAGTTAAAAAGTACTTATAAGCACTTATTTAAAAATTAAAATAACAAAAATAAATCAAAAGTTAAAAATCTTTTGGTCAAAAACCAAGGCCCTAAGAACAGAAGGCTAAACTGAAGTAAATCCAGCTGGTAGCTTTTGCATACAATATTGTTTTAACGATAACAACAAGAGAGTTGATTGATAAACAAGAGAAACGAAGATGAAAAGGGAAATCTTACAATGACCCTCCCGTTAGGACGAAGTGTCGGAAGTAAAGCAAGAAACTGCACTTTTACCTTTGATAAGACCTGAACAGTTCATGTCAAACAGTTAAATAATAAATATAACAAAAGAGATATGACCCGTGCATAAGGTAAATGAAATCGTCGGCATCAACGCTTGGCTCATCACCCCCATCCTCTGCCGTCAATTCTGATTACCAGGGATAAAGGGGGAGAAGTCAAAATTTATATAAAATAGATTTAGATTTTGAAAATTCTTCCGATTCTTTACAGTTTTTATAGCAAGGTCTTCACTGATTTTTTCTAGAGAGAGACGGAGAGTATCGATTTTCACCATTTCCATGAAACCTCCCGTGACTCCACAAAGTCTTCGAGGGTCGGAGAAGGAGTTTTTCCGTAAAATCATTGCTCTCAACTATGACTCAAATCTAATGTACATTCTTATGTTATCTAACCGAGAAAAAATATTCTTTTACTATCCAAAAAATAACAAAATTCATCCTTCGATCTTTTTTTGTAAAGAAACTGATTAAATCAATAATTTTTTTCTTTATAATTTGGTCACATCCTAAAAAGAATAAGGATATGGATAGAAAATGATTCTTTCATTCTCAAAATTTGAATTTGTGTGTAGTTAGTTTTTAATTTTTTTTTGTTGCATCATCAACTAAGTTGACTTACAACAATGCATAAATCTTGAAATATTTATATAGTATGTTCCAATGGTTAGAAAAATGATGTTAAAAATTCATTTTAATAATATTACACCCAACTATTTAGAGTTTTTCTTTAATAAAATATTCAATATGTATGTACGTTATACACAATGATATTCACATTTTATACAATGTATAAAAATGCTGAAAGTTAGTGAAATTACGTGGGCGTTAGTTATGAAAAAAAATATATTTTTTATTTGCAATTTTTGTAGTTAGAGTTGTATTTGATCATATTTTTTTCACAAAGAATATTTAGAATTTGGATATATTTTGTCAGAATATGGTTTAGGCCCTCAATTTCTATAAATTAGAAAAATAACTTGATTGACTTAACCATGTTTCCATATATTCATTTAATCTAGCACATTTTTTGTTGGTGGAGTGAGTTTCTTTAAAAAAAAAAAATAGACAGAATGATAACTTGCAACTTTTTGGATAGTGTAAGTAGGGGTGTACATAGGTCGATTTGATTTGTTTTTTCATTAAAAATATCAAAATCGATTATATCGGTTTATTAAATTTTAAAAACCAAATCAAACCCTGGTTCTTTTGGATTTTTTTAAAATTTTTTTTTTACAACTACATGGTATTTGAAAAAGAGATCAAATATTTTTTCACTTATCTGTGTGATAAGCTAAGCTTAAAAAATGTAAATGAATAGAAATTTTTGAAAAGACGATAAATTTACATGAGTACAAAATATATTTTTTGAACTATCAATGTTCATTATGTCAAATTAATAAGATAAAGGCTAAAGACAAACTGAATATAAAACAAAATATTTACAAAATAAATTATTAACTTCAAATTTTAAAAAAATTAGAACAATATAATTGTAACTTCGGATCTTAATACAAAATAAAATATTACAATTTTTACAAGCCCAAATTTGAAATAAAATATATAAAAAGTGAAACTATAAACTAACTAAAAATATATCAATAAAGTAGATTATAAATAATATTTTTTAATTTATAAAATTGACTTTTGTTTATACCAAACCAAACCAAGAGTGGTCAATTTTTTTTTCAATTGCCAAACTAACCAAACCAAATTACAAAAGCATATTTTTTCAATCTGATTTTATTGGTCGATTCGGTTTAACTTTTTGATTTGACTTGTACACCCATAAATGTACTTTGGTTTTGTCCAATTGTGAAACCAAGGGGGCTGGATCTATTTTTGTGCATTTTTTAGTACATATGCTTAGCAGTGGTAGCAACATGTGTGCTCATGAAAAAGAAAAATTACTAATCTGATGTACCATTTTGATTGCTTTTTGTACAATTCTTAATGTCGTGATACTCCTAGTATTGTTGGCTTATATATAAGAGAAAAGTAATAAATAGTGTATGTGTGTGTGCGCGTGCGTGCACGTGTGTGTCAATTGTTAAGCTTAGAAGAGGTGAAGCAATATACCTCTACAGTGAATAAATTTATTCATCTTGTATCTTGTTTTTTTTTTACATTCCTTTTTTTTTTTTTGTTATTTTTAATTTCATTATGTCTATTTCTCAATCATGTTTATTTATATACTAGATATTATATGTCTGCGCTCAATGTATGTTAGTTTTTTTTCTTTCAATTTATGTTACACAAATGAAATTTAAAAAGGGGAACTAAATTTTTTATGTGTTTCCTAAAAAAATATTTTAAAGTATTAATTTATAGAGTACTTTTTATGTTATTTTCGAATAATATATGGATTGTTACTCCATTTGTTTTATTTTATGTGATACAAGTGATTTTAGGAAAGTAAACGAAATTTCTTATATGATTATCGCATATTTTTAGTTGTCATTTTACTGCGATTCATAGTAATTTTTAGTTCCTACTTTATTTTCAGACAATATATGCAATTTTTTTGTTTCGATAATTACAAGGGAGTCAACCAAATTTTATAATAGTGAAGTCGAGTACAAGATCATAATGTGAAAAGACTAATATTTGACAACAAGTCTCTACAACAAGCCTCTACTACGTAATAAGGCCAAACTCACTTGAACAATCTGAAACTGAAATAAGCCTAAATAACATAAAAGCACAAGTGTGGAAAGGTCCCTGAACCATGAGGACTCACCAAACTTGTGCTAGGCTGATTAGAGTCTGTGCTAACCGCAAGCAAGATAAGATGTGACAGACCCTATAATATAAAATACTGCAGGCACAAGAAATGTATGCAGTCAGTACTTAGAATAAAATGTACTGAGCATAAGAAAAGATGCATGAACATAACATAAGAACGTGATAAATCTGAAAACATTATAATGTAATAATCGAGTAAACATGAAATGAAAATTGATAATCTAATTCTGAAAATATAGTACACGGACAAAAAAATATTCTAAAAATCATAATCATAATATAAGTTATAATCATAAGTCTTTTGTAGGAGATTTCGTTAACTAATAAGAGTTATATGAGCTATAACATGAAGTTTAATGTATTGCTCCTAGGCCAAAAAAAGTGTCCTACTTGTCAAGGTAAGGACCATAATCACGAGCTTAGGTGGATCCACTAGCTAGAGTTAATCAACATTAAGTTCTATAAGGGAATGTAGTTCTAGGACAAGGGCACTGCTTCTAAAGGTTTCAATCCTCTACTAATAGGTGAGACTTCATCCCAATATCTTCTCGGTGCTAAGTAAAATCACAACGAAAAACATGCATAATCATAATCATATTCATATTCTTATTCATGACATGTGAAATAGTAAGAATCTAGTAATACCCAATTATTCATAACATAATCTTATAGTTTCAATAATAGTTCTTCCAAATCATGATTAATAACATACTCATTGAGACACTTATTTAAAGCATCTAAATCATGGTAATATTTCAAAATGAGAACAATCGGAAACATTATATTTTCATAAAACTGATATATTTTATCTAGAGATAATGCACAAGTACCCCATCAACTTATGCCCGAAATCTCAGAGACACTTATATTATACTAAGGTCCTACTACCCCCCTGAACTTATTTATTAATAATTTTCTACCCCTTTTCGGCCTACGTGACACTATCTTGTGTGTCCAACGCTGGTTGACTTTTTTTTCAAGATAGTGCCACGTAGGCCAAAAAGGGGTAGAAAATTACTTATAAAATAAGTTCAGAGGGGTACCTAGTATAGTATAAATGAGTCTATGAGATTTCGGACATAGGTTGAGGGGGTACTTGTGCATTTTCCCTTTTATCTAAAAGAAACTTCAATTCATAAAATCTTTATATCATAATGCGCACATATATATATATATCAACATAAATTGAATTCGTATTGTAAAATAACTTGCATAATTAAGTTCATTGAAAACATTGAATTATGATCAAATCAAGGATAATAAGATCATCATGATTATAAACTTAAATTCAATTAAACGCATAACAAAATCATTAAACCCTGAAATTTGGGTTAGAATCGCAACTATGGATATTAAGATTTCTTTGGGACTCAATGGGTGTAGAGGAATTCATTGATGAATATTTGAAAAAGGGGTCAAAAGCCCCCTCAAGCTTTGGCCAGATTTCCAACTACTCACTTAACCATTGCGAGGGTCCTATTACCCCCATGAACATTTTTTTTTTATATTATTTCATCCTCAGACGCTGACGTGGTCACATAAGTGAACTCACCTCCGTGTGACGCGTAAGAACGTGATAAAATATCCATGTGGAGTCAAAATAAGCCTCCCAACGGTAACTTTACTCTTTATTTCACCATACATTTTTTTTATTTTTTTCACTTTGTTCTTCATCCACCATTGTTCTTTGTTCATTTTGTACAAAAGCTTCCTCCTTCTTTGTTCTTCATTCACCATTGTTCTTCATCAACAATTTTTTTTCTTATTAGCAAACATTTTCGTAACTTCTTCAACTAAGATAGAAGTTAGGGTTTCCAATATTGTCGAATTTTAGCTTGATTTCCCACCAGTTCGACAGATTATTTTTTTTGTTATTAGGGTTAGTAATGTCTAACGTGAAATTGAATAAGCTATGCATGAAGGAATCATACACGATGCTCAAAACTATAGTAAGATGCAAACATGGAAATTTGTTGCATAGTAGGGGCATGACCAAATCGTCATGCCCCCTACTATGGTGTATGTTACTTTTCTTCAGTTATTTGATTTTGTTTAACTGATGTGAAAGATAATAATATAATATATTGTTTTTATTTTTTCAGTCGAACAATTGTAATTTTTTCAATGAAGAGATAGAGAAGAAATCGATCCAAGATCCCAATTTATCCTCCCAAAATTGGTGAACAAAATCAAAGAGTTAGAAGATGAAGTTTAGAAGAGGCAGGTTCAAATCAATGAGTTCAAATCAATGAGCAACAAGTTCTGATTGATAATTTGACAGGAGAGAAGAGGTTCAAACTAAGAAATTTGAAATGGTGTAAGTTTGATTGGAAGGTCATTATATGTATTTTGATTTGTGTTGCAGCTTTGTTCATGAACAACCTATTTCAAAGTAGGGTTCATTCAAGCATTGAAGTAATTGAATTGCCATAACGTATGTCAGTAGTTAGTAGTGAAAGGAGTTGAAACTCTATACTGATTGTCATATGTATTATGAGAAATTTTGTATATCAATATCATTAAT